TCTCTGCACAGCAGTCCGTATTTTAGTCATAACTTTCTCTTCTGATATCCGATTGATGCGATTCAAAGTGCGTTGGAAAGATAACTTAAAGGGATACAACTTTTATTGAAATAGAGTTTTTCCAATTCGGACGTTTACTATGCCAAAAATGGGTGTCAATATTCGGCTAAAAATCTTGAATATATCTTGAGCGATTGGAAATTGATTTTGATAATATTTTGATCATGTTTCATTCCTTTTTGAATTCTAATTTCATCCAGTCGTCTCCTAGTAATCTTCAAAATATCTTCTTGAATATTTACAATTTGATCCTCGAATTTTACCATTTTTCGCTATTTTTTCAATCCAATTGTCTCCTAGCAATCTTCAAAGTATCTTCTTGAGTATTTGTAATTTGATCCTCGAACTTTGGATTTTACCATTTTTCACCATATTTTGCTTCTTTTCTCCAATTCTTCATCAAACATAAAGTTTTACCTACACAATGCAATATAACATAAATTATGTAAAATTTTGCCAAAAGATCAATAAAATTCTATAGTTTTAAGCCTCGAATAAGTGTAGAAAATATAATTATCACTTCCTTTCTCTCTTTCTCATGGCTACCAACAATTTCACACACACTACAGACAGTAACGAGCAGCACATATATAAGCCAAAGAGGGTGGGCTTTAGGTTAAGATAATAGAGGCCCAAAAGATAGAATTAATGGGCTGTCAACCAACAAAGTCGTCCAAGGTAATGGGTCGGGCCATGAGTAACATTAATTAAATTAAGCTACTTCAAATAGCTCAAATAAGTTGGGGAAATGGTTGTTCAATTGTAGTGTCTACATTCACTTCATTCATCGACCGAGACCTATGAAATATAATCCAATAAACCGGTTTAACATCATTGTCCGAATTTATTGGGTATCAAAAAACCCAACAACAATCTACCTAAGAGCGTCTTCGTTGACTGTCCTGAGAGAAATAACCCTTAAATAGCCATTTTAAGCAACTTGTACAGTCGAGGATGGCATCCGAAGGAAGATTGATGGTGGCCTTCTTCTTCTTCAGATTTCTGATTATCTGCTAAGAATAAACAAACACTTAATTATTAATATAAGAAAATAATATATAACGTTGAGCGCTAAAGTAATAATGAACTAAGCTTCGTTCTTGATAAATTTGGGATCGACTATGTAAATCTTTTTCACCTTTCGATTCAATTATTGCTAGATCTGCAGGGAACCCTCTTATTTTTAGCCAACAATCATTAATTTGAAATGTGAACTGTTTGGTTTCTGGATTCCTAAGACAGTACTAATAATGAATAATTGAACTTTTTCTTTGGCTTCTCTACTAGTTTTCCATTTGGTAGACATTAATATACTAAAATCTCATTTTTATGGCCCTGCAACCTTCAATAAGTGTTGATGTGTAAATGATGGAAAATAAACTATAAATAAATACATTTTCCAAGTCATAAGCTTTGAGACGTGGTTGTTAAACACGGTATGCAGATAGAATAACATATATTAAAATTTCCACATCAATCTAACATGACACAGAGATATGATAGTATGTATTAATATTTCTGTATCAAGCAAAACAAATAGAAAATAAATGGACGATAATAATATAGGGTCACATTCGAAAACTCATTGAAATCCACTACTTTTGTGACTCCTATTTATTTTCTTTTTAGAAATAACTTCTAAGCATCTGACCAAACAAGCACTTAAGAAATACAAAGCATTAAATTTCTAGGGAAGAGAGACATAAATATGGTTATCTACACGCTTAAGGAAATCTTTGAAGCAATGAAAGAATCCATCGTGTTTATATCGAATCCACTTGACATCAAATATTGCTGTGGTGATAATTCTCTAAGATAATCGAGAGTCCAGTTGAATGAGTAAATATCCACATCCTAATTTCCACTTGTTCTTTGAAAATATCTTCATATAAGGACATGAAAATTGCATCCAAAAGACTAAATGCAAAAAACCAAACCCTCTGCACATTATTAACTAATATCCAGTGTACAAGAGGCTGCAGTTTAGTGCAGATTAAATTGTCCCACAAACAAACAAAATCCTGCTTGTATGTTCATTTACTCATTAGCAACTTCAATCCTCAGGAGAGGATACAGATTAAGTTTATTAATCTTGGCAGCAAGTATGAAGTCATTTTCGGTGAGTCCACCTGCACGGGTCAAAATTATTATCCCTTGAAAAAAAAAATCATCATTCGACGAAATTAGATGTAATCATAACTACAAATCAATCTTGCAAGTCGGACGATTCATTTATATACATCACAAGAAGTTCTAGTAGCAAAAATAGTGGTCTTACCCACTGCATGCGTCCAAATATCAATTTTTACATTGTTCCACCCAACAAGATGAAGATCTGGATGATGACCTGAACAAAGACAATTTTTTTTTATCAAGAAAAATGAAAATAAAAATATGCCTTATGTAAGATTCGAAGTGTACCTTGACCTATGGATTTTAGGTACTTTGTATGAGTTAATGTACATGTGATTCATAAAATAAGAGTGCAACCTGTATGATGAACCAGAATTACCACATTCCCTTGAATAAATTGCCAGATACCGAATGCATGTTGTAGGAAGGGATTGTAACACCAGACAGGATCAGTAAGTTATTCTAAAATAACCAAGAGAACCAATGTACTAATAAAAGGGCACATAACAAAAGCACAAGGTTACCAACTTAATTTCGATAAAAACAACTTAAATAACACACAGGACACTTTCCTGCAGATCGTAGAGCAGCAAATACTGATGCAAAATGAAAGAAGTTGTTGATGGAATACCTTCTGCTTCTGCAAGAGCAGCTATGAGCTGAAAAAACTCCATTCCCCTCATGAAAGTTTTAACTTTCCATGACCTCTGTAGCTTCCATGTACCACCTTCATTCACCAAATTCCACTCAGGAACCTGGATGGTGGAATGCCTATTAAGAAACTCCAAATTTATTCAAAAAGGAAGCAGATATCAAAATTGAGTGCATGCCTGCCGAATCAGATGATGAGCCGCTTCCTCAGTCATAGGCCTCAGTTCCTTTCCGCTGCAAGGTGCACACTTCTTAATTGACAAATCTGACATGGTGAAAAAACCCTGATCAGATATATAATTGCTGACTTGCTACCAAGATCATCAAAATCACAGACTTCTCTCAATAATTTCCCCCTACATCAAGAATGAGATTAGCTATCACAATAGGAAAACACTATACATTTGTAAAGCTATTTCTGTGATAGAAATATAGGCACTCTTATTGGAATTAGGACTTCTGTACTGGCCAAAGATTTGGAAAACACTATACATTTGTAAACCTCATATATAGGCGCCGTTAGGGTACAAGGCCTAAGACACCAGTAGATTGGCAATACAGAAATGACAGTGCAAAAGTACAACAGGTCTCAACAAGAATAAAGCCATGTCCAACCCACTTGCAATCCTGCTAGCAGACCTTCAAGAATGGGCCGTCTAATGCGCTGAATTTTTATTTTGGTTTCTCATCACATTTCATAAAATTATAAGAAGAAATATCAAATATGAGAGGGAAAAAATGTAACCCAGAACTGTTTTGAGAATTTGATAATGACAACGATGAAGAACTACATTCAACTGCAAGCAAAGACCATAAAACCAAAAAAAAATAGACTACCTTTCAAATTCCGAATCAATAGCAAGGAAAAACACGGATGCAAATAATTGATCACGTCTACTCAAACTGCAAAACTATATGCATGTCTTTGTACATGTTATAACATGAAATATATACGCTTAAATTGGCTATGAAGATTGCATTTTTCTCAATAATTTAGTGAAATCGAAGAACAGTACCGTCCATTGCTGCAAAATCTTTGTAATGGTGATTTCAATGGAACCTAAACAGAATCAAAGCAAGCCATCACTAATAATGCAATTATGCACAACAGATATACACACACACACACATTGACGACTGACGAGCGTCTACAGAGCGGTGTTGCGTGTCGAGTTGTTAAGTCGCTGCATCAACAGCTATGAATTGAAAATCGTGGATTCCTCATAAAATCGCGACAAATATACAGGTAAACACGCTTTACGTGAAGAAAAACGTATAACATGGGCCAGAGTGAATGGGCCTACGAGGTTGAATGGATCGCTTGAAGAACAAGAGCCCGACTTGGATCCTTGAGCTTTTTTCAAAAAAAATAAGTTTTAAAAAAATAAGTATGGTTTAACGTCCATCTTTCGCAATTTTTAACATTGTTTGAAGACGAAAATTATCGCTTCTCAGACAATCATTTGGCCGAATATCAAACACTTGCAATTTTTCTAGAAGGTAGAAAGGTTCGATTTTATAGAAAATTAAATCAAACAAAACTTTCGACATATTCAAAGAATTATGATAGGTGGAGAACGCTCGAAATTACACCCTTAGGGTTAATACAAATGTCATCATTAGGGTGGAGACAAAATATTTTGGCCTAGGGGCGTGATATGAGATGATGATGGGACCGTTGTTCGGGAGTGGAGCCAACGAAGAAGCGCACACTTGAGGATAGAGAGGAAATCACTCTCCATCATGGACTTGCTATAGTTAAAAGAGTGTGATCCACACATAAAACACAAGCTAAATGTGATTCGTAGTTTGCCATCCAAAGCTTGCAATCTAATCATTCGCGATCTTCAAAAGCATTAGATTGATATTGTAGTTTTTTGAAAAGAAAAAAAAAAGTACTAGTTCTCGTTTATTTGTTCCTCGTAGTGAAACAAAGTGGCCTACAATTGTAAGCTTCTACAATTCAATGATCTATTAAATTACTTAGGTAATTCCAACAACTGGTTTTTTCTCAAATTCTGAAATTCATTAGAAAGATGATCCAAGAAAATGAAATTCATTAGCATATTGTTAGTATGGCACCCTGTGACTGATGAAAAGGACAATTGACATCAAACATCTTCAATTCAATTAAATATGTAAATTTTAAGGTGCCATTAATAATATGTAATTCTTGTAGTGTAACCGTACAGATTAATTAAAACCATTTTTATCTTCCATTCAGCTAAAAAAAACCACCCTAAGGTACCTCAAATGGCCATTTTAGCATCACTGAATTAGAACATAATCAGGATCTTCTGAGAACACATCTCCAGCTGTTGGTGGCAAGTTATGGCGCGAGACTTGTTTACGAACCTGAGCATGAGTCTCGGCCTCGTGTTGGAACATCTTGACTAACTTGTCGAGCTCTAACATCCTCACTTCCACCTGCTCTTCTTTGATGGGTTTTTTCAATCCAAGGTAGATCAACCCGACCACAATTAGCACCATACCTAAGAAGAATAGAAGTCCTGCAAATAGAGCGAAGGCATATGGTGTGTTTTCAGCTCCAGGGATCCCATCCACATTGATCCCAAAAAGCCCAGTGATTATGGAAAGAACAAGGCCACATCCTCCAAATACGGCTAGATTATGAGTGACGGTAAGGCTCCTATCCTGTACCGATCAAGTATTTTTACAAAGTCGAAAACGAAAAATCATTCATGTTGCATTGTTAGAATTTATGAATATTACACATTAAGAGGCATATAAATACTAACCTGCAACCATGCACGAATAGTACTCTGCATGACGTCTTGGATGGTAAATAAGCGACCACGAACTGCTTCTTGCTCTTCAATCATTTCCCTAGTACTCTTTCGTATTCCTTCCAGCAGAGTTTTTGTTGAATTCCCTCTCAAATGCTGAAGGAGTTCAAAAACAATCTCCTCTCTAGCGTGGAGCGACCATTTTACTCTAATAACCTGCAATTTTAAATGTGATAACACATATGCTTAAGTTACAGGATTGAACACAGTCCAAGTCACAAAATATGTGGTTTTCTCGACCCTAAATCATAAGAGTATTGACATCTTTGCATGAGAAAAAAAAAAGAAGTCAGAATGCATAGAGAAATAATGTAATTTTACATTAAAAAATGTCACATGGCATTCAATAATTTATTTTATGAAGGGAAAAAACGTGTATGCAGTTGGCTCATCCCATCTCCACAAAATAAGTACTTAATCTTGGCTCTGCTACCATAGGCCACAAATTCAGATTCTTGGTGAAATGGACCCATCATAGAAACAACGAAATGATGCAATTGTGCAGATAGGCAAAAACTTTGCTCCATAACTCCTACATCTTCGTACTTCAGTAGGTCATCTAAAGGTGGTCTTTGAAGTAAAAAATATGTCTAGAACCATTAGCAGGTAAAAACACATACCTGTCTTGATAACCTTCTTATTTCTTGGTTGAGAATTCTACCGTAAAGATTTAAATCTTCATTGTTTCTCCTATGGACGAAAGTAAACAGTTAGACACAGCAAGGGTACAGACATAAACTCAAAGAAAACTAATTTAATTAATATCATAGAACCTGTTCACAAACTTCAATTCCACTTCATCAGCCGCCCCAAAGATGGATTTCCGAAATATCCTTGGCAAATTAGAAATTTTAGTATATGTAAAACCAATCAGAATTGGATTAAAACAATGATAAATAATAATAGTCAGTCAATACAATATCAGCATTAGAATACAGTATTTTACAGTTTCAAGGCCTTATCTGCAGTAAAAAAATGTGAAATGATAAGAGATCAAAAAATGTATGCATACTGAGTTGATGCAAGCATGGACAAAGCAGAATAATTGGATTATGGAATTAATAGCTGGCATCAAGTGAAAAATTTGACATTGCTCAAAGCTGCAATCATGGTAATGACAATATTCCTACTTTATAATCTCTTCCTAGAAAGAATATCATTTGACCGCTAGGTCATTCACCCAATCTTTCGGTGCCATCTGTCTTCACATATTTAACCATTATTACTCAAGTGCATAGGTTAGACTAATATAATATGAAAGCAGTCCCTCAGTCCTCACCTATCATCCCATCGGGCAAGGCGGCTAGCTAAATGTGCTGTAATCTCATGTACTGTCCTTGGTGTATTATAACAACCAGCAAGAAGAAGTTCCTAGGAGGAGAGAAAGTAGATGTGATGATAAATATGCAGAAACCAACCTAACATACAAATGCAAGATGCATAACAAAGAGAGTTTTTCAAAAGGAAGTAGAACACAAATGAGAGAAGCTGAAATTGGGTAGACAAGAAATTTCTACGTCCATTCACCCTGCCAGCTTATGAAAGTTATCAGTCTGAGCAGGACAAGTAAAAATGCAGAACATGAACATGAACAAAAACGATATAATAACAGCAATCAAGATAAGTTAGATGCAATTTACCCAAGCATGTTAATCATGAAAGAGATCTGATCTATGAACACTAACCTGGACTTCTGTAATGCCCAAAACATTAATTCTTGAAGTAGATCCTTTCACGTGCAGAACAGTTACAAGGAAGTTCTGTGCTTGCCATGAACGAAGGACAACGGGCACGTCATCTTCTTCGACATAAGGATCGCCGACAGACTGCCCCAGAAGCTCGAAAAGCAAACCTCCAGCCACCCTTACTGGAACCTGTAGAGAATAAAAAACATAGCGAAGGGAATCAGCAATGTCGAGCACCAAATGCTGAAAGCCATAAAGCATGAATCCCTCTAGTTTAATTTCTTTAAATTACAGTTTGGTAGATACACAATTTCTTTAAACAAATTGATTAAAGCTTTGTCAACAATAATCATACTGAGAGGTCGAAAAGAGATTAAATCATTTGAGGTTCTGGATACAGAGTATTGCATCATACAACAATTGAGTCACATCAGTGACTTAGGTCCATGTTTTGACAACAAAGATAATGTGCACATTAAATTTAGTTAATGTTCAGTGATTGAACAGTACCAGGTTAAGGTAGTTTCCTGATGGCACATAAATTTCAATTCATATCCATGCAAAGTAAATAAAACGTCCCGGTTCTAAAGAATAATTATAATAAAAAAACTCTTCCAATAGCATTACATGTATGTTTCCAGAATACCTTATACCTTTTACTTACCATTGCCACTATAGCTCTTTGTTGAGTGAAACCCACATGTGTTAGTCAATAAGGACGGTAAATTCAGGTCATAACTGTTACTTTTCTTTTGTCCAACTTTGATACCACCAAATAAACAAGTTGTAGAGATTAGCACTAAATGAATTTCTTTACAAGTTTTGAAAAATGAAATAAAGCACCACCACTTTTAAACATGCTCACAAACTTATTAGAGTTAAGGAAACAGCTTATACTAAAGCTGATAGTAGAGTTTATACTACATATCAACATTCCAATTAAAGTCAGCAACAATTTCGAAATTTACACATCTGAAAGAAACACTTAGAAAATATGCATGTAAACATGGCTGGAGGAAAACCTAGATAGTGGATAGTAGTGTAATCCCTAAGGGGTAAAGTTCATCACAAAGATTCAGTAGACAACTATCTGGAATTCAATATAAAGTTACATCCATCAAGCAAGAAACGTAATAGAATTGTTAGGAGATATACCTCGTATAAAAGGTGTTTCATCCTATCGCTTATCAATCTACTTTCATCTCTCAAAGCAACACTAATCGCAGGATGTAACCACGAGGCATTGTTGAGCCATGCATCCACAGAAGGGTGACCTGCTGAAAGATGGCACCACCATATAGGCCCAGCTGGCCGTTCCCAGTATGGGGCAGCTAACTCAGCAACAGTTACCTCATCCTCATCACCTATGAAATCGAACTGCTGAGCGCTCCATCCTGCATCAACTCGCACTGTCTGCACAAGTTCAGAAATTCTAGCCCACCCAATAGGAACCCAATGACTCCCTTCAAATCTTTCAATGGGTTGGAAGCAGTCTGATTGAGAGTTCTGGCCATCCATGTCCAAACAGCCAGCCTGACCTAGTTCAATAAGTGGTGATGATTCCAGCAAATTGTTGCCTTCTACTTTTTGAGAAGTAGGTCGAATCCTACCACTAGAGTTCATGGGCTTCTTTGCATTTAAATTATCTACATGATGAGATGACCGATGTTTCGAAAAAGATTTTGGTACAACAGAGTTCTTATGCACATGCACAAATTCAAATGCACAAATAAGTCCATCAGTCCAAAGTTCACTCCCAGGCATGGTGCCTTTATCGCAATGGACTCTCTGGATTTCGGGCTTCTTTGTTTTATTGTTATGGGAGGAAAGATCCTCACTTATGCCACTCGTGCTATCCTTCATGTGCATCAAACTGAAAGAAAGTTTACAGTCAGTAAAGCATTTCAGAGGAACATTGCCTCTTTGGGCAAAGAATAAAAGGCCAAAACTTGTGATGCATAAATGATGCACCTTTAAGGTTTAGTTCAGAACCTCTGCTCGCTATAACAGCTACATCAAGGCCAAATAAAAAAATCAACTGCAAGCCTTTGCGACTTGCTTAACTCAAACAAAACTTGGTTCCAGTCCAACCAAGTTCACGCTGCAACATCAGAATAAACAAGTTAAAGAATCGTGGTAAAGCATAATGTATCAACAAAAGGATTGTGATATGAACTGAGAAGTAGATATACAGTCTTAGATTAATTTGAAATTAGTTAAAATTACCCCCAACACAAAAAGAAAATTCCAGTTAAGGAAGCTCATCCAAAAAAACGCAATATTAAGAACTGAATCCAGAATGTGAAACAAGCTCAATGGGTTAAAGCAATCAGTTGATAAATTCGTAAACATCTCTACATTGAAAAAACCAAAAAAATTAAAATAAAATAAAATCTATAATTGGTTGTGATAAAAGCATATATTTTTTCACAGGATTCAGACAGACAAATTAAAATATCAAGTTGAAAAAAAAAATACCTACTCGAGAAAAGGGAAATAGCAATACTAACTACAAAATGGTACACAGCCAAGTAAAGCATCAAATAGGAAACGAAAGAACTAACATTTCATTAAGCCAAAAAATCACAAATTCAACTATTGCAAAAGCGACATTATCATATCTTAATGCATAATTTCAGCAAAAAAAAGGCGAAAAAGGTGGTTTTTTGAAATTGCATTCTACTTTTGATTTCCTTGTTTCACAAAATTAACTGAAATTTAAAAAAAAAAAAAAAAAAAGCTCAATAAATTAGCGAAGAATATGGATTTTATGCCGAAAAGAGAATTGAGAATCACGGTATTAGAAAGCAGTGGAAGTTTCGCAAGCGGTGAGATTGGAATTTACAGTGTCTCATCAGGCCTTTTTCAAGAAGAAATAATTTTTCATTTTTGATGCTCTTGATATTTGTAAAAATTGCATCTATCATCCTCAACTTTTACCCCTTTTTACACTTCATCTCAACCTTTCACTTCTGAATAAAAAAAAAATCTATTAGTCTGTCACGTGCACCTCATATGACAAAAGGTTTGAGCACTGTTGAAGCTTTAAAGAGGTAAAAAATAAAAGTAAATAAATTTATTTCTTTTATATCCATCCCAATTTAAATTTTCCCATATTAAAGTAGAAAAAAATCTTTATACTCCATCTCCTTACAATTTATTTAAAAATTTGTTTAATATCAAAAAATTGAATTGAAGTAATTTAATCCTTTTTTATAAAATAAGTTGTAAATTCCACAAAATGCTTGATGAAACTTTATTGTTGATTTTAATTTTTAAAATAGATTAACAATTAGAGGTACTATTTCGATGAGTTTAACGTACTCCGCCGTTCTTCTCTATTTAAATCTCGGGTTAAGTCCAATCATGGCCACTGTATTTTATATTTATGGTGTGTTTGGTATCCATTAAAATTTTCATTCTCATTCTTCTACTCATTTTCAACCACACATTCTTCATTAAAATAATATTTCTCATCACATCAATAACTTTTCCTTCTTTTTCAACCACACAATCTCCATCAATCTATTATTCCAAAATACATTCTTCCAAAACAATATCCATCAAACACACCCTTAACCTATGTTTGAACCACATTATTTTTTTCATTCTCATTCTTCTACTCATTTTCAACCACACATTTTCAATAAAATAATATTTTCTATCAGATCAATAACTTTTTTTTCTTTTTCAACCACATATTCTCCATCACATCAACAGTAAAAATATGTTTTTACTCCCAAAATATGCACCAAATAGGGGCTTAGTATCCCTATGGTCACTTTAATTGATTTTGTTTTACTATGGACATCCAATTTTATATAACGTTCCAGTCAAGTCACTTGGTTGATAAACCGTCATTAATTTAACAAAAAATCTCTCTTAGAGTAACGGGTTGCTAACTTGTCCCACCTGTATCCAAATAAGTAAATAAGGGTAATTTCTTTTGGGCCAAACAGGTCTTTATCCCTTCCCTCCATTTTTTTCCCCAAATCTCTCTCCCATGTTTTCTGTCAACATTATGAATCTTAACTCGTGTTGAGAAGGCAATATTTTCAAGGACGCGTGATTTACAAGATAAATTGGAAAGTTTACGAAGAGGAAAAGAAGGCTGTTGCAGATGAAAATATCCAGCTTCATATCTCGTATCTTTGCGTTGCTTATATTTTCATTATCTCATCTTACAATTTGACCTAAAATGTGTTGCTCGTTCTTCTTGTTAGAGGAATCAAGAGCTAATGAAAAAACAAGAATTGCAGCAGAAAAAGTCCAAAGCAATTGAAGAATGGTTACGTCCTTCCCTTTCTCCATTTACATGTAAATTTAAGTCCTACTTCGAGGATATTTATTCCTTCTCTTCTTGCAATTATTTAAATTTCTTTGATCGGTACAAATTTTATATAAATGTAATGGCACGTTGAAGTGCTTTTAATACAAAGAAAGAGAGTTTGTCAGTACACTTTAGAGCATAAATAGAAGGCTAAAAACAGATGCAGAAACAATCAAACAAATGAAAATTAATTACAACGGACTACTCAAAATAACTCATTGCTCGGTAATGTTTCTCCCCCCATGACTTCATGTACATATTTTATAAAAACAATCACCATCACCATCTTCATGGTTGTAATTTGGATCATGAAAAGTTTCAGCAATTGATGCAGTTTCATCATGGTTTGCTTCACCCAAAACTAGTCAAAAAAAAAAAAAAAATGTTTCTTCTTTCTAAACAAGAACTAACATTATTCGATAATCAACCAAAATAATTTTAGGTGGAACAAAAGGGGAACTTTTGGCAGAAAAGTTACTATCTTCAGGGTCATATTCTGAGTCGTCCAAAGTTTCGTCATTAGGTTCATATTGGTCATGAACTACTTCGTATGGGTGATAAGTGCATTTTTTGTGCACTTATTCTAGCCATATTACTAAACTTTTGTGTTGTTTTAGTATTGAATTTTACTTAAATTTGGTTAAATTTATCTTATTTCAATTTTGGACATGTTTCTATGCAATTGGAAAAGAAAGAATGATCAATTGGCCAATGGATGGAAGTTTGGGGACTTGCATGCATTTCAGTAAAATTTGAAGCACTAAAAGTTGAAGTAATATGATGTTGAGGATCAATGTGGAAAAAAATGATGAAGATAAGGGCTGAAAGAAAAATTCATTGATTTTTTATAACTGGACAGTCGCCCGACCCTAAACTTCAATAACATGGGCCATTTGTTTCCATTTTCTACTCGATGCCCGCCCAGGCTAAATCAGGGAAGAAAATTTCTAGTTTCCTAACTGGATTCCAGCTCTTATGGAAACAAATATTGGAACGTCTCTTGAAGTAGTTATCACGCTTACAACACATTTTAAGAGATTTTGGGAGCATAGAATGAGGCAAGAACACGAAAACCGATTCCAAGACACGGAGATTCAATTAAAACTTTATTTGGATGATGTCGATTCTTCAATATTTCTTTTGTTTTATTTCTCGTAACATGTTAAGCTAGATTTATTTGTATTAGGAAAACGATGAATACTGTAATATGAATTTTAATATTTAGTTGTATATGTTTGACATTAAAAACACGCTTTCGAATATTGAATGATTTATATGATTTTATTTTCTCCACGGTTATTGTGCACGGTAGTTACGTGAATGTGGTGACATATTTTATACATTCGAAAGAAATGAAATATATTCAACATATATAAATAGTTATAAAGTTTGATAGTGGATATAAATATACCGTTATACTCTATGTGAATCTTTAAGTGTTCATAAAAATTCATGCACTTTTATATGTTCGCATCCGTCATAGAAATATAGTTTGGTCATATATAAAAGTAAGTTTAACCTTATTCGATAGAGATTGTTAAATAAAATAGGAACATTGACTCGTCAAAAATTCAATCGTGTTGTCAACGTTTAAAACTAAAGTTAGAAATGATTACTGCATGGGAATTTGGGATCCTACTGCATTTATCATTTATTAAACACGTTAAGTTGCATTTAAAATAATTTACATTTAGTTTGGTTAATTTACTCTTAATTGCATAAGTTGCTAATTTTAGTTATAATTTTGTCGCAAACAAACACATCATATTATTATTGTTTCGGTTAAGGTCGCAATAATTAAAATTGAACTAATCAATCTCTGTAGGACGATATTTGAACTCAAAATCCACTTTATTGCCTGTTAACTAACCGTACACGATGGTTTTAATTCAAAATATATTTTCGTGAACAATGAACCTAACAACAAAGATTAAAAATGATATTAAAGGAGATTTTCTGAACTTATAATGATTTCACTTTGTCCAAAAGGAGACTAAATCAGAACAATAAACAGTAAGCATAAAGATATGATAAAATCACCAACCTTATTTACTTATTTCGATATAGTTGGATGTATTAAATGGACAAGTCAGCAAATCATTAGTCCTCGAAAGATTGAAACATTATATGATGTTGGATAATCGTGATGAAACAAAATCAAATTAAGTGATCACGATGACACTAAGTAAAGTAGCCATGGATGGATTTACCCCTCTAAATCTCAGACTCAATAGTACCAGTCTTCACTCAAAACCATGGAGGCGCCAGAGCAGTAAGGCTTCTTCTCTCAGTGTCTCAACTACAAAAAATCGTTTGATTTCACTTGCCAATTTAGTACACTGTGATTCAGTGCAAATTTACTTATATCTACAGAAATTTTGTAAAAATTGAGGAAGGTGATAGCGTTTTGTCGCCCCAGTCTTACTTTACATCT